CCCCCAGCTGTGGATCCAGCAGCTGCTGCTCCCTTCCCAAGGGAAGGAGAAGGGCTCATGCCCCCTCCCTGCCCGTGCCAGGCTCTGGCCGTGCTCCCCTCCGTCTGTAGCACCCGATAGCTCTGCGTTCACCATGCGCCATTTATCTCTCCTCCAGCAAACACTTCCTTTTCTTAGAAGTAAGGGCTTCAAAACACACTTCTTGGAACTGCCTTTCCATGTGCTCGGCAGCACATGCCATGGAAAAAGCAGCAGGGAGAGCAGGCTGCCAGCCCTCCCTGGCTCCCTGCCTGGCCAAGGGAGGCCCTCTCCTGGTGCCTGTCCCATGGAGAGGCCAGGTGGCTGTGTGGCCCTGCCCTCCAAGGGGAGAACCATCCCTGGGGCAAGGGCCCTGGCACAGAGAGAAGGGACCCACAAGGATTGTTGAGTCCAATTCCTGGCCCTGCACAGGACAGCCCAACAATCCCACCCTGTCCCTGAGAGCATTGTCCAAATGCTCCTTGAACTCTGGTTCAGGCTTGGTGCCAGGATCACTTCCCTGGGGACCCTGTACCAGTGCCCAGCCACCCTCTGGGTGAAGAACCTTTTCTTACTGTGCAGCTTAAACCTCCCCTGGCACAGATGTTGTAAGGGTGGTGGTTTTGGACAAGGCTGTGCCTTCTACCCCAGTTCCCTGTGCCCTCCATCCCTGCCAGCCTGCTCTCAGTTTGCTGCTGCTTGCCCTGCCCTGTAACAGCTCCATGCTCATCACCACCTGTCAGCAGAGAGACTTCCTGTGCCAGAATTTAAGATACCCCCTCCTTGGGTTTGAGCTTTCCTCTCATCCCTCTCCTGCAGCACGTCACTGGCTGTTCCCTGGGTGAGGGGCCAGGCAGAGGGGCTGGCAGTGGGCAGCAGCCTTCACCTTTCTCCCTGGACAGCACCTGCCTGTGAGCTGCCCGTTCCTGTGGGGCTGGCACACAGTACAACACCTCTACGGATCCCATGCCAGCTGGCAGGCATGGTGGGAAGCGAGCTGCCTTCTGCCACTCCATGTATGTGGTGTGAGTCATGGGGATGATTGTCACATCCCTGAAGAGGCAGCAGTGTCATGCCCTGGGGTGAGTTAGCAAAGTCCCCAAGTTCCTGTTGTCCCAACACCCTGCCCTTGAGTCTGTGGGTACCTCCTCATGGTCACAGGGTGTGGAAGGCAGACGGGGGAGGTGGAGATGCTGGTGTTTGGTGGGAGGTGGAGAAGAGCTTTGGTGGCAGAGGTGGATGCTGAGGTGCAGCCCATCAAGGACCGGATCCCCTGTGGTGAGGAGGCCTGTGGCCATGGAGAGGGACACAGCCTGGCTCCCTGGGAGCGAGCATGCAGGTCTGCTGCACACACACCTTGCTGTGAAAAGCTGTGTGAGCTTGACTGAAGGTGTGTGGCAAGGTGAGGAGATACCCCACCAGCTGTGACCGTGCTGGGGCTGTTTTGTGGGAGCTGGGAAACTGGCACCATGTTCCATGAGTGACATGGGTGCCAACCATGACCTGGGCACCAAACCCCTGCAGTCCTGTGGCCGCAGGCTGTGGGCAGGTGTGGGAAGCAGCATGCAGGCAGAGCTGCCAGACCGGGAGGGCAGGCGGGGATGCTGCTCCAGTCTGCGTGGAGCCCGTGGTGAGGCGTGACATGAGCACAGCGTCAGCTGGGCTTATCTCTGCTTTCCCAGAGCAGCCGGGTTACTGGAACTGCCTTCACTTATCAGGGAACAGGGGACCTTGTTGGGAAGATGGACTCAAGGTGCGACAGCATCAAGCCCCTGCTGACGCCAGGCTGCTGGCGATCCCTGAGCCTGGAGCTCGCAGCTCCCGCTCCCTCTGGCCCTGTGGCTCCTGCTCAGCCCTGATAAACCTGGGAGATCCTGGGCCATATGTTTCCCTGCTTCCTGCAGCCTGCCCAGGGACCCCTCCTGCCCTTCTGTGTGCAGCCCATGGACCCCAGCAGCTCTCCTCACAGTGGGTCAAGGTTCCTGGTGCCTGGGGCAGCAGGAGGGTTGGCAGCATGCCATGAGCGGGCTACCTGGGCACAGACGTGCCTGTTTTCAGGAGCAGTTCAACTCTGGTGGTCTCTCTCTGCCCTCTATCTCCCCCAGTCCAGGCCATGGCCACCTATCCCCAGCCCCAGGGAGAGGGGCTGTGGTTCTTCTTAAATCTTCCCAGCTCTTGCTGCTGCTGGAGATGAAGGGCTGGAGGCGGCCGGCTTGGACGAGCTGGGCTGGAGTGACTGCATTCCTGGCCAAGCCTCATGCTTGGCCTGCTCTCCTGAAGCCGTGGGAAGGCAGTAGTTTGGCGACCCAGTGTCTGCCTTTGCCACAGGGATTCATGAAATCCAGTTTGTGTTATGGAGTAACCTGTGAGGGCCAGGATGTAGGAGTACTCGTCGTGCCGGGATGCAGCAATGTGGTGATGAAATCAGTGGTGGGATACATGGTGTGGGCTCACAACTGTGGGCATCAGCCCTGCTGCTGCTTCCCCAGGCCTCAGCCAGGGAATGGAGCCCAGTGTGTTCCTGCTGCAATGATTTCTATCCCACTTCGATGCTAATTTTAGAGAGCCGAGAGCACGTGATGCATCCCCTGCCCTGCCTGCGTGGTGTTCTCCTCACAAATCCTTTCTGGCATCCTCTTCTCTCATGACTGGTCCTGTGCTTCCCCCATTGCCCTCTGTGCATGATTCAGAGCGAGGAAGCACAAGGCATCTGTCATCTGCCCGCTCCACACCACAGCTTTCCTGCCAGCAGGAGCCCGCCAGCCTTCCTGCCCCTTCCCTCCGTGCTCCTCGCCCGCCCCTCTGCTCACTATTCCCTCTTCCCGCAGGAACGCTTTGTGGACCTCTACGGGAACGATGCTGCTGCCGAGGTGAGGAAAGGCCAGGAGACCTTCAACAAATGGCTCCTGACCGGGGCGACAGTGGCCGGAGTGCTTCTGCTGGGATCCCTGCTGAGCCGCAAGTGACCCGCCGCGAGCCCCCCGTCGCCAGGACGGCTGCGCCTTCACCGCCACATCCACTACACTCCGCTCCCAAGCACCGGCACCGGCGCGGGGGAGCAGCTCCTGGGTCCCGGCTGAGCACCACCCTGCTCCACGGAGTTGTCTCCCTCGTGCCGCCCAGCTCCTTTTATCGTAGCCCGTCTTATTTACTGTTCCGTTGTGTTTTAAAGGCGCTGAGGCCAATGCAGCGCTTCAGCCACCGGCTCCCAGCGCTGGGGAGATCCAGGCAGCTGTGGGGCACAGGCTAGAAGGTGTCCCAGCCCTGCAGGGTCCTCCAGATCACGTGGAAGAAAATAAACAGACTTATTTTTGCATGTGTGAGTGCGTGCGTGTGTGTAGATGTGTCACTAATATAAGGTTCCCCAGCCAGAGCAAGGGTCAGGCTCCATGCCCCCGTCTCCATGCTTAGGCACTGGGAAGAGGCAGGCTGCACAGAGGGATGGAGCTTCCCTGCATCCCTGTCCCGTCCTTGCTTTTCCAGGCAGAGCTCATCCCTGTGGTGGGGGGAGCAGGAGGAAGAGGCAGAGGCCGGGGGCGAGGAGCTCTGCCCTCAGTAAGTCCCCCAAGCCCTCTTCTCCCTGGACATCAGCTGCTGGGAGCTGCATCCAGTCCCAGGTTGGGATGGTGTACCAGGCCCAGGGCTGTGTCTTGTTGGAAGGGTTCCTTGTCCTCTTCGTCTTCCTCCTCCTCCTCCTTCCGAATGTAGATGGCTGTGGGGCTGTGCTCATCTGTCCCCAGCCTGCTCCTCTGGGCTGGCAAAGGAGGGAGGCAGGCAAGGGGGAGAGTGCTTGTCCCTGGCACAAGGAGCTCTGCAGAGAGCTGGGGCTGTGGTGTCCAGGAATGCAGAGCCAGGGATTGGAAAGGGCAGGGGGAGTGATGTCCTTCACAGGGGTGGCAAAGCCCAGGGAACAGCTGATCCATGGGACCAGCAGGGAAGCAAGCCCAGAGGAGGTGAGAGAGAGAGGGCTGGCACTGGCTCAGAGCCGTGCCGGCCACTGGGAAGCCTCTTTGGGGACAGTGGGAGCCTCTCCAGTGCTGTCCCGTTTGCTCGCAGTCCCATAGCGCAGGCAGATCCCTGGCAGATCCGTGCGTGGCTGTTATGGGTGCATGCAGTGACTGAGGTGTCTGGCTTCCCTCCCCCTCATCCCTCCCTTGCTCCTGCTGCTGCTGGAGCAGGGAACCTCCAGCCTTTAATAGCTTCCAGAATAAACCCCCTCATCCCTCAGAGCCCACCACTGGCGCACACAGCTCTCCACGCGGGCCTGTCGATGTACGTACGCCCGCGCTCCGCTCTGTACAGGTCGAGTAGTTTTTAATTCATTTGTGAATACTCAATGCTATTTTTGTTATCTTGTCTGTCCGTATTTATGTGTGGGGCCATGCTCCCTGAAGAGGCCAAGGTGGGATGGAGGTGGGGGGGGAAGAACCAGACGCTCCAGGGGGGCTCACTTGGCCACTGAGCACAGACTTGCGCTCCCTGTGTAGGATCCGCTCAGATCCCACACGGGGAGCACAAGGACTAACATTAGCCCAAACATTGAACGCTTCGGATTGCAGGTGGAGGTGATCCACTAATAAAGTTGTCATTGGAGCTGCTGGTGGTGCTGTGGTCTTTGCAAACATTGGGAATTTGGGCAACTTTGGGCCCAAAGGAGTTACCTTCAGCGGAATGGATAGATGGGGATGGGGTCCTCTCTGTGCCCAGGGAAGGGTTGGGATGCTCCAAGGAGCTTGCTGTAGTCCCGAGGGGATGTGGGGGTGAGGGGGTGGTACTAAGGGGTGATGGGGGCAGGAGAGCCCAGGACAGGCTCTTATCTGGGCTGGAGGTGGTGGTTTTGGGGACATGGGCTCAGCACCCTTAGTCATGTTGGGGTGAGGACGGCAGGGGGCTCACAGCCTTACTGGGACCCACAACCCCCCTGCATTCCCGGGGCTGTATGTCAAAAGGAGAAATCTCCTCTCCACCACCACCCTCCCTTTGTGGGGGGCTCATTCTGGCACAGTTTGAACCCCACGCGGGTAGGACCCCACAAACACTGGGGCTTTTTCGGGGTGTCACAAGCGTGGGGGACACCGAGCCACTCCCATATCCCTCCCACCGCAGGACGCTCCCTGCACAGCTTAGCCTTCCCCAGACCCTCCTGTCGCTTCCGGAGGACCCCCGGAGCGTGGGGGGCAGCGGCCGGGCCCTGACGGGCTCCATGGCCCGGCGGGATGCGGTGGGAGCCCACGGACACGAGCACCATCCCGTGGGCAGCGGGAGAA